GTAAAATGTATAAAAAAAGGGTATATAAACACAATTTAATAGAAACAATTATATCACATGAAATATGAATTTTCATATTGCACACACGCGTTAATTGAACATACACAAAATTTGGATTTCAAAAAAATTCAAACAAAAATATAGAAAATACAATGCCAATATATATAGTTTATCGGATTTTATTTATTATACCTCGTCAGTTTCATAAATAGAATCAACTTGGGCCGATCTTCAACTTCGTCATTCTCAACATGTCTACCATTGATTACCAATTGCACATTGCCCATGTTGTCCTCATAAAACCTACAGTACAAAATGGATTATATGGATTATATGTCAATCATATAAATAATTTATCAAATTCATTAGTAATAGTAAAGCTCAGCCTCGTCACAAATTCGCGAATTTCAGGAACAAATTGTCCAACAATTATCTTGGTGACATTCCTCTCGGTCGTCAAATGAACTTTCACTAAAACATTGCAAATAAAAATAATTCAACGACAAATTAAACATATGTATGATGTAGTGTATACTATTTCAATACTTCCATAGGGCTTGGTAAACAAACAATGAACAATGAATTTATAGAAGAAGGCCAAGGTATATTTTAGTTTAATTCTATAAATAAATGATATGAAAATATCTTAAGAAAGGCAATAATTATAAATTGAGTCAATAGAATATTACAATTTATATGGAATATGTAGTAATGATTTGTTCCAATTTGACACAATATTCTGTTTATTTTTACATGGCCATCAATTTTATTCAGATTTACTAACATTTAGGGATATGGTTGATTTTACAAATTAATTTTAACTACACATTTATTAAAGTATTTGTATAATCTAACTTTTAAACCTTTTGTAAATAATTGAAGAATTGGCAAACCAATTGTTGTAAATAATTGAAGAATTTATCTCAAAATCACGATTTAATTAAATTCTTTTGTAATAATTCATGTTGCAATTAATTGTGATTAAGTTTTTCATGATAAAACGTCTATGATATATAATTTTGCAGATCATGCAAAGTAAATTTGAAGATCATTGAAGAGATATTGTTTTATAATTGTGATTATATAAATCTTTTATAATTGTTTTATAATTCATGATAAAGCTTATTTTATTTATTTCTTGTAACAACTAAGAATGAAGATTTATTAGCCGTATTTTTTGACTGATTGGTTTTATAATGTACAGATTTTATTGATTTGTTAATTGAATCTTATTTATTTATTTCCTTATCCATTTGTAACAATATAAAATGAAGATATTAGCCATTTTTTTAGTGTATATTATGCTAGATTTTCTTGCCTTTTTTTTTGCCGTTTGTAACATAACACTGCCTCAAACAGTCGGTAATGAATCTCATACAGATTTTAATGACTTTTGAAATTTAAATTTATCAATTACCACTAATTCTTAAATTAGTTACTAATTAAATTAAAAACGAATTATATAGGCGGGAAAATAGTTACTTTTTCAGGTAAATGCCAAACCTTTTTATATTTATATGAATATGAATGTTAGAAATTATTGTATTATAGATTAGAATTGATTGTCTTATGAATTAGAATTTATTGCTATGTTGTTAGAGGTTAGAAATTATTGTATTATAGATTAAAACTGATTATGTTATAAATTATAATTTATTACTACTATGTTCGAAGTTGAATATTATTATGGTATGATTTAGAATTGATAGCCTTATGAAATAATATTTAGTACTACTATGTTAGAAGTTAGAAATTATTATGGTATATTAATACTATTATAAATTAGAATTTATTACTATTTTGTTAGAACGCTTTTCCTACTATAATATTCAAACGAATCATATAACTCTGAGAAAAGTGTTAAACAATCTCTTGTCATAAAATTCTTCAAATCATACTGAATTAATCGGTCTCAATGAATTGCTCTAACAGAATCTGATTTTTTTCGTTCAATTTGTTATTTAAATTGGTATTTATGAATTTCAAATTTAAGTCAAA